GGGACGGGAGGGGGATCTGAGGGGATAAGAGGGGGATTTTAGGGGACGGGAGGGGGATCTGAGGGGATAAGGGGGATTTTAGGGGACGGGAGGTGGATCTGAGGGGATAAGAGGGGGATTTTAGGGGACGGGAGGTGACCTGAGGGACGGGAGGTGTGATGTTCCTGAAGCCCGTGGGTGAAATGCCTGCAGACTCGGCTGCAGGTCCTCCAGGGGCGTTAGCTGGGTCCGAAGGCCGTCTGTGGGCTGGGCAGCGCTGGGCGAGGTCACGCTGCCGGGAGGTGAGTGGGACCCGCCTCTCTCCGCAGCAAAGCCAGGAGTCCAGCTCCGACCGGGTCACGCTCTATAGCCTGATGACCAGGCCCATCCAGAGGTTCCCACAGTTCATCCTGCTGCTCCAGGTACCCCGACCCCTGGGTATTAGTAACAAAAGCTGTATTCTTCCTAAAGTCAAAATATCCAGAAATTGTGTTTTATTTGCTCCGATGCCAAGTCCTTCCCGAGCGGTTGGTTTGTGCCGGCGCCGTTGGCGTCCGCGGGGCGAGAAGTGGCAGGAAGGAGGTGGTCACAGGCCGTGGCGAGGGGAGGACGGACGCCAGCTAAGAGTTAGACAGTTAGTTCTTTGACTACCTCGGGGCACGTTCCCCAGGCCAGGCCCGGGTGCGGGGGGATCTCGCCACAGGAAGAAAGGCTGTGGCTGTGCCCCGTGAACCCCAGTGCGGCTGTTCCGAGGGGTCCATTCTTCCGCAGTGGCAGCGATGCCAGTGTCACCCTGCGTGGGCAGCGTGGGAGATGTGGCTGCTGGGCTGGAAGCCTGGGGGTGCTGACGACCCTCGTCCCCCACACGGGCAGTCACCCCCCGTTCTGCCTCGTTCCCCTGAAGGACATGCTGAAGAACACGCCCCGAGGACACCCCGACCGGCTGCCCCTGCAGATGGCGCTGACGGAGCTCGAGACGTTGGCAGAGAAGTTAAACGAGAGAAAGAGAGACGCCGATCAACGCTGTGAAATCAAGCAAATGGCAAAAGCCGTGAACGAGCGATACCTGAACAAGGTGGACGGAGATTTTACTCACGTCTGCGCCGAGATGGCTTCTGCTTTTACTAACCAGCCGTCACTGTTTCGGCCGCTCGCTACTAACCTTCGGGACTAAGGAAAGCTCCCCGGCCGGGTTCTTACCTGGGCGCCGATGGAGAGCCGCGGGCACGGCCCCGACCCCGGGCGCTGCTTCAGCCGCAGCGTCTGTGTGTCCTCAGAAACGGGGTCACGGGCTCATCGGGTCCTCAAGGGGACCTGGGACCCCCCAAAAAGGTGAAGAGCAACTCTTTCCGCTCACGTGTGCTTTCGAATGTGTTTCATTTTACTCACAGGTGAAGCACGATGCACATAGTTTAAGTTTTTTATTTATTTGTATCGGCCTTGCATGGGCTCCGCTGTGTCCCGGGTGCAGAGGGGAGCGGAGGGGGCCCCTCCCAGGACTGTCCAGCGTCATGTCACAGAATCGTTTCCTGTGATGACATCGGATCTGTAGCTTTACCCTGGCCCACGGGAGGTTAATTTATTGAGCCGTGTTAAATAATTACATATAATACTTACTATTGCCAAACCACTTTGTTTTCGTCAGTAGGAGTAATTTCCCACCATATGGGACCTTCAGTGATCTGACTCTTAGGAACTTTATTGCCGTATGTTTTAAGCACAGGCCAGTTTTGAGTCTCTAGATGACATGTAGGAATTTTTCTAAGCAGACAGTCGCTGTTGTTTAAAATTGTGCTTCCCTGTGGCCCTTGAGTGTTGAAAGCCGCGTGGCGCGGCGAGCTCAGGGCCCGTGAACGGTGGGCTGGCGCCTTCCTGCGAGCCAGTCAGGGGGCCCGGCGGCCGGTGTGGTAACAGGAGGGGAGACCGTCCATGCCGAGGGCCCCGACTTCCCAGGGCTGACTCGTTTCCGTGAGTCTGACGTGTCTGTGAGGCACCCGATGAACACAGGCACCTTCCCCGGGGACCCCAGTGCTCTGTGGGCCCCGTGACATAAAACGAGGCCCCGAAAGGGGCTGAGGTGCTGACTTAGCTGTGCTGCCCGTGGGAGAGCGAAACGACAGGCTAACCACTTTCACTGCAGCCTGCCCGCGGACATGGGGGTGGACGTGGGGGGTGGCGGGGCGGCCGCAGGGTGAGTCCAGGGGGAAAGGAGCAGTTACTCGAGGTCATGTGAGGAGAGGGAATAGACGGGCGACAGGAGACCGCAGGTGACGGCAGGCGATGGCAGGTGACAGGTGACAGCAGGTGACGGCAGGTGATGGCAGGCGATGGTAGGTGACAGGTGACGGCAGGTGATGGCAGGTGATGGCAGGTGATGACAGGTGACGGCAGGTGACAGGTGACAGCAGGTGACGGCAGGTGACAGGCGACGGCAGGCGACGGTAGGTGACAGCAGGTGACAGCAGGTGATGGCAGGTGACAGGTGACGGCAGGTGACAGGTGACAGCAGGTGACGGCAGGTGATGGCAGGCGACAGGTGACGGCAGGTGACGGCAGGTGATGGCAGGCGACAGGTGACAGCAGGTGACGGCAGGTGATGGCAGGTGACAGGTGACGGCAGGTGACAGGTGACAGCAGGTGACGGTAGGTGATGGCAGGCGACAGGTGACAGCAGGTGACGGCAGGTGATGGCAGGTGACAGGTGACGGCAGGTGACAGGTGACAGCAGGTGACGGCAGGTGATGGCAGGCGACAGGTGACAGCAGGTGACGGCAGGTGATGGCAGGTGACAGGTGACAGCAGGTGACGGCAGGTGATGGCAGGCGACAGGTGACGGCAGGTGACGGCAGGTGATGGCAGGCGACAGGTGACAGCAGGTGACGGCAGGTGATGGCAGGTGACAGGTGACGGCAGGTGACAGGTGACAGCAGGTGACGGTAGGTGATGGCAGGCGACAGGTGACAGCAGGTGACGGCAGGTGATGGCAGGTGACAGGTGACGGCAGGTGACAGGTGACAGCAGGTGACGGCAGGTGATGGCAGGCGACAGGTGACGGCAGGTGACGGCAGGTGATGGCAGGCGACAGGTGACAGCAGGTGACGGCAGGTGATGGCAGGTGACAGGTGACGGCAGGTGACAGGTGACAGCAGGTGACGGTAGGTGACAGGTGACGGCAGGTGACAGCAGGTGACGGCAGGTGATGGCAGGCGACAGGTGACGGCAGGTGACGGCAGGTGATGGCAGGCGACAGGTGACAGCAGGTGACGGCAGGTGATGGCAGGTGACAGGTGACAGCAGGTGACGGCAGGTGATGGCAGGCGATGGTAGGTGACAGGTGACGGCAGGTGATGGCAGGTGATGGCAGGTGATGACAGGTGACGGCAGGTGACAGGTGACAGCAGGTGACGGCAGGTGACAGGCGACGGCAGGCGACGGTAGGTGACAGCAGGTGACAGCAGGTGATGGCAGGTGACAGGTGACGGCAGGTGACAGGTGACAGCAGGTGACGGCAGGTGATGGCAGGCGACAGGTGACAGCAGGTGACGGCAGGTGATGGCAGGTGACAGGTGACAGCAGGTGACGGCAGGTGATGGCAGGCGATGGTAGGTGACAGGTGACGGCAGGTGATGGCAGGTGATGGCAGGTGATGACAGGTGACGGCAGGTGACAGGTGACAGCAGGTGACGGCAGGTGACAGGCGACGGCAGGCGACGGTAGGTGACAGCAGGTGACAGCAGGTGATGGCAGGTGACAGGTGACGGCAGGTGACAGGTGACAGCAGGTGACGGCAGGTGATGGCAGGCGACAGGTGACGGCAGGTGACGGCAGGTGATGGCAGGCGACAGGTGACAGCAGGTGACAGCAGGTGATGGCAGGTGACAGGTGACGGCAGGTGACAGGTGACAGCAGGTGACGGCAGGTGATGGCAGGCGACAGGTGACGGCAGGTGACGGCAGGTGATGGCAGGCGACAGGTGACAGCAGGTGACGGCAGGTGATGGCAGGTGACAGGTGACGGCAGGCGACAGGTGACAGCAGGTGACGGCAGGTGATGGCAGGCGATGGTAGGTGACAGGTGACGGCAGGTGATGGCAGGTGATGGCAGGTGATGACAGGTGACGGCAGGTGACAGGTGACAGCAGGTGACGGCAGGTGACAGGCGACGGCAGGCGACGGTAGGTGACAGCAGGTGACAGCAGGTGATGGCAGGTGACAGGTGACGGCAGGTGACAGGTGACAGCAGGTGACGGCAGGTGATGGCAGGCGACAGGTGACAGCAGGTGACGGCAGGTGATGGCAGGTGACAGGTGATAGCAGGTGACAGCAGGTGACGGCAGGTGACAGGTGACGGCAGGTGAAGCCCTCGTTTGCAGAGTCGTGTTTCTGAGCCTCAGACGTGTGTCCTCCGGGAATCAGGTTCCTGCCACTGTTTAGTGACTGGAACCCCGTCTGTGAAACTTCTAGTTTAAACAAGCTGCCTCCTGAGCTCCCCGGCGCTTGTGCGACCGGAGCGTGTGGGTCTCCTAAGGAGACGCCGTGAAATTTCGGTGCCGCCTGCGTGTCGTGGGCTCTTCTCGTCTTTTACTCTGATTGACGCGGCCGTGGCAGCTGGGTCAGCGTGACTTTGGTTGTTCAGCTTCTCAGCAGCGGAAGCCGACGCCTCGTCCGGTCGGACGATATGATAGAGACCGTGTACAACGACCGCGGAGAAGTCGTCAAAACCAAAGAGCGGCGGCTGTTCATGCTGAACGACGTGCTGCTGTGCGTCACGGTCGGCGCCCGGTAAGGACGCGTCGGCCCCACCAGCTCCCTTCTCAGCGGCGAGCGGCCTCGCCGACTCTCGCTCAGTCCCAGCCGCCCGTGCGCAAAGCTCAGTAACCCCCCCGCGGGGGGGAAACACGTGCGAACCCAACAGGCTGCGCTGTTCCCGGGAGTGGAGAAGGAGTTTTAGGGTTGACCCACCTGAAGCCTCAGAGAACCACTGTCCCCACACGGGGTTTCCCTGTCAGCAGGCGCAGGGCGCTCGGCGTCCGCTCAGCCACCAGGCCGCGGTCGGCGTGGTCCCCTAAAGCTCCCTGGGAGGTTTGTCGTTTCACGTCCTCCCGGGCTCTCTCGAGCACACAGAGGACAGAGCTCCTCCCACGTATCTCATCAGAGGCCTCCTGCAGCGGGTGGTCCCCGTTCCCGAGGCAGCCAGAGGCGTGAGGGGTCCACAGCTCCGGGGTTCCCTGGAGAATCTGGGGGTGCCTCGTGGCTTCACATCGTCGCTCACGTTGTCGTTGCAGCGCCTCCCAGGATGGCCACGCACTGCTCTCGGCCGGCCAGAGGCACCTGCTGAAGTGGAGCGTGCCGCTGGGCCACGTGGCGGTCATAGAGTACGGCAACACCGAGGGCGCGGCCGAGCACCCCCCCGAGAGCCTGGCCGTCGTGGCCAACGCGAAGCCACGTGAGTGACGTGTTACTGGTGTGCTTGCTGTCGTGGGCGGCGTGGCCTCGGACAGAACGGCCTCTGAGTATAAGCAGGGCCCGTCGGGTAGATGTGTGGGTGACACCGGTGTCAGCGTAGGCGGGTGGACAGGCTGACCTGCTGGATCAGGTGCTGACCTTTGGACATGCCCTGGAGTGGGCAGTGGGCACCCCTGGGTTCACGGGGAAGCACCCGGCATCTGGGCCACTCCCGTCCCCCCATCCTGGCTCAGTGCTGCGTTTCCCGCGGCAGACAGGACACGGGCTCTCGCCCCCGCGTGGTGCTGACTTGATGCCCAGCACGTCTGGTCTCGGGCCAGCTCTGCTGAGGCCAGCGCACGGTCCCTCTCCAGCCCGGGGGTGGCCCTGGCTGTGAACGTCACGAGGTAAAGTGAGAGGAAGGGGGGAGGGGCCACATGCTCGGAAACGCTTCAACGGTCGCGTCACATTCACGGGCAGGATTCCTAAAGGGCCTTCAGACAGCAGACTTTGAACTTAGCATAGTGACCGTGACTTTCCCCCCTTTTTTTATCCAAGTGAAACCAGGCTGAGTTTTATCCACTGTCTGCCTGTGAGCAGGAGGCCCCAGGAGGGAGACATGAGAGCAGTTTCCCCGGAACAGACTTGGGCAGGTCTCCCGGCAAGTGGGGGAGGGCAGAGAGCGGGGGGACTTCCCATAAGAGCTTAGATCCCCCCAAAATGAACACAAGTAACAAAGAAAACAGCACAGGGAATTAAAAAGAGCAGGTGTGACGTGGGAGAGAGGAGACTGGTTCTTAAAGAGAAGTGAGCTCGGCACGGGGAGGCTGAGCCGTGACGGCAGAACCCAGCCCCGGGCCTCGCCGAGGGGAGGCAGAGAGGCGGTCGCTGTGGTTTTAAAATACGAAGCTGCTTCAGAAGCCTGTGCCTGGTGACAGCCCCGCGTCTGGGGTCTGGGTGTAGAGCCAGCGTCTCACTTTTCGGGAGCGTCGCCAGCAGTAACACTTTAGTGATCCGAAATGTGCGGCCCTTTTCCGGGCAGACTTACAATGCAAGGGCCTCGGGATGGAAGGAGGCGCTGTCCCCTGGTCGCCCTGGATGGAGGGGCTGTGTGCTGTTCACCTGGAAGTCTGGTTGGAGCAGCACCCAGGGGTGCGGGCATCACGCTGGTTTCCCGGGTGACTCCAGGTGTCTCCTGGGAGTCCCAGGGGCTCGCGGAACCTCTGATATTCTTGGCTGCATATCGAGAGCCACGTGCACGTGGCCGGCCCGAGATTCCTGCTTGGAGGTTCATGTTCTGTGGAGGGTCTCGGACAGTCCCCTTCTCAGTTCTCCCTCCGTTAGAAATAAATTTTCTCCTTCATTTTTAACACATCAAACTTTCCTAAATTAAAACGCAGACTTCGGGAAGGGAGCGCTCGCCCGAGGCCTGGGGCCTGCCGGATGGGGGGCAGGCCTGCCTTGTCCCCCCCCACCCCCTGCGGGCTCCACATTCAGCCCAGCGCTGGCCCCTCCCCACCTGGGACGCGCTCAGCCTCCTCAACACTGTCTGTGGGAGCCTGGCTGGGGCCCTGAGATTTCCCAGGACCCGGTCGCCCCGCGGCCGGGCGCCCGAGCAGGAGTCCCCTGGAGCACAGTCATCCCTTGTCTGCCACCAGGATTCCATCCGGCTGACAACCCCGCGTGTTTCCTCAGCAGCAGGGGTTTCCAAGGAGATGGGAACTTGTGACAATGAACCTGGAGGCGCCTGTGGAAGTGGGGCGACCGTGTTAGCACAGGGACGGGGGCGTCACTCAGCATGCTGGATGCTGGATCTGGGCTGGACATCTCTCAACAGAAGCTTTCATTCACAGATTTGCTCCTTAGGTACATTTGGCCAGAAGAGGAAATTCTTTCCTAAACCCTGAGTAACATTTGGGAAAACGCTCACCACTGTACGTGTCGTGTAACCTGAGTTGGGGACACCCATGTGTCTCGTGGACGTGGTCTTCGTTCATCCGACAACGCACGTGGCTGTTTCCTACTTGCTTGTGTCCCCAACACGCTCTTGATGAAGCTCGTCTGAGGGTGGAGCCCAACCGGGGAAACGCCCCACGGACCCGGCGCCTCTGACTCAGCTGCCCCACGTGGCTGTTCCTTCAAGACGCTGGCTTAACCGCGGTGTTTTCTCCGTCACGTGTGGCTCACTCTCAGGGAAGTTTAGCAGCAAGAGGAAATATTTCCAAACTCAAGCACCAAAAGTAACCGGGTCGCTTTTACCCTGTGATAATTTTAAAAATAAAGAACAGAGGCGGGCAAATCACTAAAAGTTAACATCGCACGTGTAATGTCATCACGAGGCCGTGTTCACTGAGTAGTTTGCCATTGAAAGTTTATAAAAGCACATATTTGTGTTATTAGCTAAAAACGTTTTAAACTATAAACATTTACTTGTAAACAGTTAAGTTATATACTGTTAAGGAAAGAAAAAGTTGACACACAATCATGGAGACAGTCTTCTCCTTCTTTTGTGAAAACACCTGAGACGTAAGAATCGTAGGATTGTCTCCTTCAGTGACGAAAACCAGGCGGCTGAGCGTCTGCGTCCACCGGATCCCGGCTCTAACCCGTGGTGCCGGCAGAATAAAACGTTTCCATGCTCTGCAGCGAAGCCTCCAGTGTCTGCGGACACACGGGTCTGGGATACTGACACTGGACACGCCCGTGTCCTGTTAACACACGTGCTCCGTACACTGAGGATGGGACCAGCCCCACGGTCAAGCGTGGTCCCGTCCACCGTCCACAGTCGTCAGGATTTTAGGCCGTTGACAGCAGTGCCTTTGACAGCCAGGTGGCCGCAAGTCGTCCCAGGGCTTCTGTGACCAACTTCAGCTTTGACTTTTACTTCGCAGCATGTTCATAATTTAAAATATTTTTAGTGCCCAGCCGGCGTGGCTCAGTGGTTGGGCGTTGACCCAGGAGCCAGGAGGTCGAGGTTCGATTCTGGGTCAGGGCACATGCCCGGGTTGCAGGCTCCTCGATGCCCAGCAGGGGGCGGGCAGGAGGCAGCCGATCGATGACTCATCAAGGATGTTTCTCTCCCTCCCCCTCCCTTTCTCTGTACAATCAGTCAAAACATATTTCAAAAAAATTACATTACTTTTGCTGACAAACTCAGCGGACGCGGCGCGTGTGTGATGAACGGTGCTCTGCTAGCTGTGTTCGCGCACATGGCGAAGGCCATGAGCCAGACCCGAGGAGACACAACCGTCAGGAAACGGGTGCTGTGCTCACCCTGATGGGTCCCCTCTCCTGCCTGGACCTGAAGTCTGTGGCCTCGGGCAGCGCATTTCCCCGGAAAGTGGACGAGAGGACGGGCCGACTCTGTGCACGGGTGTCGCTCTGAGCTCAGGTGCCACTGTGTCCACGTGTGGCCCAGGCCGTGTCCTCACCCCATGCCCATCGCTGGCGGGGGGACAATGTGAGCCTGGCAGGGCGGCTCCCCGGAGCCGTTGCTGGGCTGCCCTCGCCCACCCACCGCGGGCCCCGCTCCATCCGTCTGCCTTTATTTGTTCAACTTCAGAGAAGGATCCCTGGGGACACCTCCTGATGTTGGATGACCCGGTTGCTAGAAGTTCGGCTCAGGTTAAACGTTAAACTAAGATACTTCTTAGTAGCAGCAACGGCAGCTGCAACGTCTAAAACACACTAGAGATGACAAACCCAGGTCGTGAGATGTTCTCATAAACTCACCGGCGTCCTTCAAACACAGCAAGGTCACGAAAGACAGAGACGGGCCGAGGAACTGGCCTAGACGGGGCTTCAGGCGGAGAAGCCACAGCTCAGGAGCTGAGGAGCCTGAGTGGACGGCAGTGGGGACGTGCTGATGGGCTCACGGCGCCTGTGAACGCGGTTTCCATGGTGGCCGGAGGGGCTGAGGTCTGGGGGACTCGAACGTTGGGGAGGGCAAATTCTCCTCTGTAAATCTAAAATTATTTCAAAATAAAAAGAAAAGTTAAAATTTCTAAATGCTTGAAAATATTTACTTTTTAAAACTCAAACCTAACTGGAGTTTATGTTTCATGTCCGGTTCCCCGGGCACTGGCGTGAGTGTGGCCTCAGACCGCCGCCTCCGTGTGCGTGTTTTGCAGACAGAGTCCACGTGGGGCCCGGGCAGCTGTACCAGGACCTGCAGAACCTGCTTCACGACCTCAATGTGGTTGGTCAGATCGCGCAGCTCGTTGGGGACCTGCGGGGACACTACCAGGTAACCGCCGGAGCCGCTCGGCTGCAGGTTCTGGTTGTTTCTAACTGGCTGCAGCACGTGGTACCGTACGTGGTACAAGACCACGTCACGGCCACGGTCAGACACGAGCAGGTTGTCTCTCGCCGGGTTTGGACGGGTGGACAATGTCAGTGTGACTTTCTGTCCCTTCCCAGACCCGAGTGTTGGGTCCGTTGTGGAAACGGCTCAGCACCGTCCTGTGGCCTGACCCCTGGGTCCCTTTCTCCGCATCAGACACGAGTTTCCCATGAGACAGCCTCGCTCCCGCAGCCCCCCCGGTCCCCCTCACTCAGCGGTTAGAGTGTCAGAGCACTGACGGGTCGAGGGTTTGATTCCTGGTCAAGGGCAGAACCTGGGTTGCAGGTTTGATGCCCTGGCCCTGGCCAGGGTGCGTGTGGGAGGCAGTCAGTCAGTGTGTCTCTCACATCGATGTCTGTCTCTCCCTCTCCCCCTCCTCCCTCCCTTCCACTCTCTCTAAAAGTCAATGGAAAAAATACCCTCAGGCGACGATTAACCAAAAAAAACACACACATAAAATAAAAACAAAATGTGCTGCATGTTCTTTCTAGAACTTGAACCAGGCCGTTGCGCACGACTGGACGTCGGGGCTGCAGAGGCTCATCCTGAGGAAGGGGGAGGAGATCCGCGCGGCCGACGGCTGCCGGGTTCAGCTGCAGCTCCCGGGCAAGCAGGACAAGTGAGTGCCCACCGCAGAGCTGCCTCGGCCCCGGCCCCGGCCCGGACGCGGTCCTGGTCGCATCACACGTCTTGGCTGCTGACCGTCGGACAGGCACGTGGGATTCGTGGGCTTGGGTCTCACTTGTGACGTGAGCTCTCCGTTCTCCTGCAGGTCTGGGCGGCCCACCTTCTTTACGGCCGTGTTCAGCACCTTCACGCCGGCCATCAAGGAGTCCTGGCTCAGCAGCCTGCAGATGGCCAAGCTCGCGCTCGGTAAGGGCTGCACGTTCCCCGGATGAGACGCGTCCAAGCAGGGCCTGTGCGTTTCCCAGGCCTCTGAGTTCCCTGCCTCATGACGAAATAGATGCCCAAGAGGTAGAGTCAGGCTGGGGAGGTGGACTTGACCGTGGTCTCCATTCCCCTGAGACGCTTTTACACAGGGAAATAAATCCCGCACAAGGCATCGATCGGCGGTTTATAATTTAGGGGGTGCGGGGGAAAAAGCCCTCACTGTTACTGTAACAAAACATTCACGTCAGCTGAGATTGTTCAGCACAGGTAACGGCCCCAAGCCAGGAGCCCAGCCCTGGGTCCCGTCCGGTCTGAGTCCCCACGGCAGGAACATCGGGGTCCATCTCAGCCTCCACTCTGTTACCCTCACCTGTGAGTGGAAATGCAGGTGGGACTGACCTGTCCAGCAGGGACAGGTGCAGCTTTATCATGATTTTCTTGCTCCTGTGTCCATTAGCCTGGCCTTTTTTGATATATACAGGGCAGAGCAAAAGNCCCCCTCCTCCCTCCCTTCCACTCTCTCTAAAAGTCAATGGAAAAAATACCCTCAGGCGACGATTAACCAAAAAAAACACACACATAAAATAAAAACAAAATGTGCTGCATGTTCTTTCTAGAACTTGAACCAGGCCGTTGCGCACGACTGGACGTCGGGGCTGCAGAGGCTCATCCTGAGGAAGGGGGAGGAGATCCGCGCGGCCGACGGCTGCCGGGTTCAGCTGCAGCTCCCGGGCAAGCAGGACAAGTGAGTGCCCACCGCAGAGCTGCCTCGGCCCCGGCCCCGGCCCGGACGCGGTCCTGGTCGCATCACACGTCTTGGCTGCTGACCGTCGGACAGGCACGTGGGATTCGTGGGCTTGGGTCTCACTTGTGACGTGAGCTCTCCGTTCTCCTGCAGGTCTGGGCGGCCCACCTTCTTTACGGCCGTGTTCAGCACCTTCACGCCGGCCATCAAGGAGTCCTGGCTCAGCAGCCTGCAGATGGCCAAGCTCGCGCTCGGTAAGGGCTGCACGTTCCCCGGATGAGACGCGTCCAAGCAGGGCCTGTGCGTTTCCCAGGCCTCTGAGTTCCCTGCCTCATGACGAAATAGATGCCCAAGAGGTAGAGTCAGGCTGGGGAGGTGGACTTGACCGTGGTCTCCATTCCCCTGAGACGCTTTTACACAGGGAAATAAATCCCGCACAAGGCATCGATCGGCGGTTTATAATTTAGGGGGTGCGGGGGAAAAAGCCCTCACTGTTACTGTAACAAAACATTCACGTCAGCTGAGATTGTTCAGCACAGGTAACGGCCCCAAGCCAGGAGCCCAGCCCTGGGTCCCGTCCGGTCTGAGTCCCCACGGCAGGAACATCGGGGTCCATCTCAGCCTCCACTCTGTTACCCTCACCTGTGAGTGGAAATGCAGGTGGGACTGACCTGTCCAGCAGGGACAGGTGCAGCTTTATCATGATTTTCTTGCTCCTGTGTCCATTAGCCTGGCCTTTTTTGATATATACAGGGCAGAGCAAAAGTAGGTTTACAGTTGTGAGTACAGGAAACAGAATATATTCCTGTTGTTATTATTGTATTATTTTCCATACAAATAACTGTAAACCTCCTTCTGCCGCACCCTGTATATGAGACTGACTGTTGAAATGTATTGGTGTGCACACTTACACGATTCACACACACGGATCTGTTACTCAGAACACGGGCTGGGGGGCGTGTGCACGTGTAGAATTCTTTCAGATGCAGTTACGTTCACCGATACTAAAAGATTAACTGAAAATAAAGTGCAAAAGAGCAGTGGCTGTGGGAGCCATGCTCGGCTGCCGTGGCTGTGGACGGGCCTGTGTTGGGCTGTGCCCGTGGGAGCAGACGGCGACCCAGCTCCTTCCTCTCTCCCTGAACAGTTGAGGGTTGGCCAGCCAGGCGCAGGGTGACCCAGCAAACAGCGGACAGTCGCTCTGCAGAGCGGGCTGAGCCTGAAAGTTCGCCGCTTTTCTCCATGGATTCCCAGGTCCCCATTGAGAGCCAACGGCTCACTCGGTGGTGGAACCTCAGTCTGTGTTAAAGGACTTTTCTCACTGTATCTCTGAACTTAAACATCTCAGTTGCTTTAAAAAAATGAACAAGAATAACAAAGCCCTGGGTGTTCCCATGGTGAGGCCACAGGGGCCACGGGGGGCCGTGGTGCGGCCTCAGGCAGGGCAGCTTCCGGGCAGCCCGTCTGGAGGGAAGGGGGTCCCTGCTGCAGGAACAGGGTAAGTTGTTCCCCCGACCCTGTCTCACTGCCGCCCTGGCCCCTTTCCCGACGCGACAGGGGAGGACAACCACCTGGGCTGGTTCTGCGTGGAGGATGATGGAAACCAGATTAAAAAGGAGAGACACCCCCTCCTCGTGGGACACATGCCGGTGACAGTGGCTAAGCAGCAGGAGTTCAAGGTGACGGGCGGGTGGTCCTCGTCTGGCGCGGGGAGTGAATGACTAGCAAGGGGCGGTGTCCAGCGCTGGGTCCCCGGTCAGCGCGCCCGCTCCTGCTCTAGGGTCCGTGTTTGGAGCTCACCCAGGATCCCTGTGGTGTGAGGCCACCCCCTCTGCCTCATGGGGCCAGGTGCTGGGCATTTGCGGGAAGAGGGCACACGTCACACCTGTCAGCGTCGCCCCCGTATGTGGCAGCATTCGTGGGAGGCCTTGCGTTTGCGTGGAGTGCGGGCCCCTCCAGCATGGGCTCAGGCGTGCGGTGTGTCTGTGAGGAACCAGAGAAATGTTATTTCTTACTTGGTCCCTGGCGACACCCACACCCAGAGGCTGGGGGGGACCCTTCCTGAGGGAGAGGCAGTGGGTGGGAATGGGATGGGGCCTGGCCACCTCCGTCCAGGAGCCAAGCCCGCCTGGGACACAGGCCCTGACCCCTTCCCAGTGGGCACCAGGGTCTGGAGATAAAATACTAAAGACTAAAGCAGCTCACAGGAGTTTGCTTCTAAAAAGTTAATTTCTGAGACTCGGACCTTAGTCTTCCCCAGTTTCATTGCTGGATAACTAGCAACCTGGGGCTTCTCTGATCAGATGTCGGACAGAGCCTGTCATTCGTTTAAGACATGACATTGGTGCCTCCTTGTCACAGTTTAACGATTAGCTCTCTTCCCCTTAGATCGAATGTGCCGCTTACAACCCTGAGCCCCACCCAGGGCCGGTGGGCCTGCCGGACCCGACAGCCGCAGCCCAGGGCTCCCTGTGGGTAAGACGCCTCCACCTATTTCCATGCAGCCTGTGGTTAGAGGGACAGGAAATCGCAGACCCGGACGTGCAACAATGTTGCAGCTGCCAGTGTGTCCCCGGTTTTGACCTGGATGTGCAACAGTGTTGCAGCTGCCAGTGTGTCCCTGGTTATGACCTGGATGTGCAACAGTGTTGCAGCTGCCAGTGTGTCCCCAGTTTTGACCTGGATGTGCAACAGTGTTGCAGCTGCCAGTGTGTCCCCGGTTACGTGTTTATAAACATGGAAGCCGTGGGCCGTGACAGGGTGCTTCCTCACGTATGCAAAAGATGCAGATTCTCAAGAATTAAAATGTTTTTCTCTTTCTTTCTCCTCTAAAACTTTGCCAGATTAAATTCAGTCCAAAGACAACCAACAACCAACTTAACTAATATGAGCATAACTTATCTATTTCTTCAATTTGGGTGGTTCAGTCGCATGGGTCCATGCCCCACCTTTCCAAGACCTGGCTGGCTTTCTACACGGAAACTTAGCAGTTAAAGTGAACTTGTTCCAAATAAAATACACGTCTGAGTTATGCCGCAATGGCAGCGGACATTTCTGGTTGGTGCAAACCAGAGGAATTCCTCACATGGCGTGTGTTGAGGTGTCCTGTCTGTCTCCCTGAAGGCCCCCAGGAAGCGCCCCTCCCTGAGGACCCGTCCATGGAACCCCCAGTGTCCTGCCTCTCGGCAGGGCTCCTGCTGGGCCCAGAGGACCAGCCCGATTACCTGATAACTCCCCTGCCAGCTGGAATGAAGTGACAGGCGTATTGCCCTCAGGGTTTGAGAATTTTAAGGGAGGAATTTTTTTGTTAATTGGCCTGTAAGTGATGCCTGCTTCCTCTCCTGGTCACGGCCACCCCCAGCCCTGTCCCCAGAGCGGGGCTGTGGTTTGTCTTCCTTCCCCTGACAGGCTGTTGAAGCAGGAAGCTCCTTTGTCACAGGGAAAACACAGAATATCGAAGGTGTCACAAGGTTTCCACAACCAGCCGAAAGGAGGGACCATCTGTGAAGATGGACACACCCTAACCCGGCGGCTCCCTTTCCTGTTAACTCTATTAGCAAGACCTGACTCTTTCCCACTTAAAAAGCAATTAAGTTTAAATTGGGAAGTGGACTTTGCTGAGTGTCTCAAGGGCTCCAGCAAACGGGAGGTTGGGATCACGGGGCCCGGCAGCAGGTCAGTGTAGGGTTTCCCATTAGACCCTTCGGCCCACCTGGGGCATTCTTACCGCCTCCTCTCTTGAAGCAGTTTTCTTAGGTCTAATGCCTGGTAAACTCTAGTGTGACATTACCTGAAACTGATATTCATCTGCTTTGTAAGACTTTACGTGGTGTGTGAATACCATTGTATAGGACAAGGCATATGACTTTTAATGCACATAAAATGTGACTTTAAAAAAAAAATCAAAACTCTGTCCTTGCTATCAAAATTAAGAGAAAACACACACCTAGTTAGCGTGGAAAAGGGGACTCTGTTAGCAGATTGTGTAAACACTGCTCCATCTGTCAACGTGAACTTGGCTCTGGTCCTCGCGGACAGTGCCCGTTTCCGCCTGCATGGACGCATCACGCTCTCCTTTCCCCCTCCTGACCCCCTGGCTCAGATCGGAAGCTGTACCAGCCAGATGGGCCAGATTGCCATCGTCTCTTTCCACAACTCCAACCCCAAAGTCATTGAGTGCTTCAACGTGGAATCCCGCATCCTCTGCATGGTGCACATCCCCGCAGAGCGGAGCCCGGAGCCTGGCCCTGCCACGGAGCCCGGGACCACCGCTGGGAGCACGCTGGGCATCCCCACCGTCTGCCTGGGGACGGAGGAGGGAAGGTAGGTCCTGGCCCAGGACATAGGAAGGGCTGGCTTCTTTACAGCCCCAGCTTTCCCCTTAAAATGCAAGTAAAAGGTCAAAGTGGTCAAATCTTTGAGCTCGAGTTTCTAGAAGGAGCGGGGTGGGCATCCGTGGAGAGGCTGCGGTTACAGCAGTGGCGCCGGGTCCCCGCACGCAGGGGCAGGTGTGTCCACAGCTCACCGTTCTCTTCCAGCATCTCCATCTACAAAAGCAGCCCTGATGCCAAGAAAGTGCGGCTACAGCAGTTCTTCACCCCTGACAAGGCCACGGTCATGAGCTTGGCCTGCACACCACACAGCCTGTATGCTGGCCTGGTCGATGGGGCCGTGGCCGTCTACGCCAAGGCACAAGGTGAAGGGGCCATGTGGGTGGGTCACTGCCACAGCCCACACCACAGACTCTCCCTAACCCACAGACTCTCCCTAACCCACAGACACGCCCTCTCAGGGTTCTGGGGCTGGGAGCCTGAGGCCAGGGTGCCCCAGGTACAGGGTCTGGTGAGGCTGCTTCCTACCTGCAGTTAGCATCTTCTCCCCGTGACTTCATGTTGTGGCCGGGGCTCTGTTCTCCTCCTGTTCAGATAAGGGCACCAGTCCCATCGTGGCCCCACCGTCATGACCTCACCTAACCCTGTCACCTCCCACAGGCCCCTCCCCACACCACTCTGCTGGGGTTAGGGCTGCAGCAGGCAAGTGGGGCCCATTCACAGAACAGCCCTGGCCTACCCTCCTGCCCCCTCCCACATCCAGCTGTCTGTGGGGTGTTCACAGCACCTACTGCTCCCAGCGGCCCTCTCTCACCCCAGCCAGTGACCTCCATGCCCACGGGATGCTCTTGATTCCTGTCTCTGTGTCCTGCTCTGACTCTTCTCTGTCACAGGTCCTGTCCCCTCCCACCTCCATCGTGAGCACCCAGTCCCACTCCTGTCCCCTCCCACCTCCGTCATGAGCACCCAGTCCCATTCCACGTGCCCAGAGTGAGATCCCATCCCTGCCCCCCAGGAGCTGCAGTGACACCTCCCCACCCTCCAGAGCCACCTGTCTCTTCTCCTGGTCCCTCTGCCCCAGGCATGTGGCTTCTGTCTGTTGTTCAAACACACAAGCCTGTTCCCACCCAAGGAGTTATCTCCTGCCAGCTGGTCCCTGTGCCTGGAAGGCTGTTGTGCCCTTGACCTTTGACCTTCAACCTCAGGTCCTCGGGGAGACCGTCCCTGATCATGGGTTGGGTCCAGACCACAGTAAATTGAGAGGTGACCTTGTTGCAGGCGGAGGGTCTTACCTGCGCTGTGCAGGAAAAGCAACACCTGGGGAGCGGGTCTGGAAAAGCATTTCATTAACGTCGGGTCCCAGCCTAAAAGCCTCATAAAAGGCGCAGCTCGTCTGTCTTCAGATCCCTCGTCTCAGTCTCGCCACTATCCTCAGATGGGTTTGGGCGAAAGGCCCAGAACTAGGAAGAGAGGGAACCGGGGCCGCCTGCCCTCACGGGGAGCGGAGGCGACGCAGGTTAGCCTTCAGTTCCGTTCTCAGGCCTGATGGCTTAGGTGATGGTGAGTCTGCAATTGAGTTGATGTTAATGACCCACAGAAGCCCTCAGCCCCTTTTAAAGGTGCGTCGGGTCTTGCGTTAGATGGTGCTTTACGCTTCCGCCGCCTGTGGGCTCAGCACGCGCAGCGTGGAGCCCGTCAGTGCGTCTCTGACGATATTTCCACCCAGAATGCTCGCTGTTTCCTGCGTTTCGGGAACGGAGCAAGTTCCTCATTTTCAGTGGAGACGTTTCCTCCCCATAATATGGTGCATATACCAAGGGGTATTTTTAAATAAAAGCTGAAATGAGGATATTTAAAAACTTGCTGAGTTGTTTTGGGTACAATTCCTTCCATGATGACAGAATCATTTTATATATTTATCATTGTAAATAATGGTATTTATTTACCAAAGGCTCAGGTGCTGCGCTGAGCTTCTTAAATGCACCGTTGCCTGGTAAATTCTCACCACAACCTCGAGGCAACGTTGTCCCCATTCTGCTGAGGAGGAAACTGAGGCTTCGGGCGAACGCTGTGTCCGGGATGCGCCAGGTTGGGCGGGGGAAAGGGACAGCCTGCTGACCAGGGGCTCGGTGCCTTGTCACCAGGTTGCCGGTGGAAACGGTGGGCTCGGGGAACCCGAGTCACCAGAGTCACGCTGAGTGTCACAGCTGCAAACGTCGCCGTGGTTGTCTGTTGTTTAGGATGGTCTGGGACCCCTTTCCCGGCCCCTGTGCGCGGACCACTGACTGTGAATGAAGTAAAATAAATATTTCCTCTTCAGATGGGTCCTGGGACTGCGAGCCTCAGAAGGTGATCAAGCTGGGCGTGCTGCCGGTCCGGAGCCTGCTGGTGGCGGAGGACACCCTGTGGGCGGCGTCCGGAGGTCAGGTTTTCGTCATCGGTATGGAGGCGCATGCCGTGGAGGTGAGCGGCTGGCAGTGACCTTGCCGAGTGCGGAGGTGCCCCCAGGACGGGTCCCGGTCCCCTCCCAGGGCTGGAGGTCAGGGCCGTCCGCCTCCCGCCCCAGCACACTTGCAGCCCTGCCCGAGGCTGAGAGAAAGGTCCCTCCGATTTGCTTAGGAAGAGGGTTACCTCGGAAACTCCACTAACCCCTGACTAGCCACTGACCCCGGGAGTAATGTTCACTGTTTATTGGAAAGACTGCTCAGTGTGAACATACAGGCCCCAAGGTCACGTGGGAGGTTAGCGTCCAACGCACGTGGCCTTTCAGACCCTGGGGTAAATGGGTTATTCAGGGAAGGGCGGGGAGACGATTGCCCTGTGGGAAAAGGGAGCGGATGCCAGGCGCCAGCCCCTCTTCTTTTAAACCAGGGGTGGGGAACGTCTGGCCCACGGGCCATACATGGCCTGAGAAATCATTTGGTCTGGGAAATACAGGCTGCACACCTCGCCTGTGACTAAGAGGGAATGTTCTCAGTAGAAAGAGAATTCTTACTACTCGTTAAACAGAAACCAAGTTAACAGATCTGATGACTGGGGCCCAGCGGAGGTCAAGCCCTCGCTCAGCTGACTCGGGGAGGGCAGGGCAGTGCTCAGCTCGGGCTGGAAGAGGGACGGTGGGACATGGGTCGCCTCCTTCGGCAGCAGCGACTTGGGGTTCTCGGGTGTCCCTCTGCTCGCTCCCACTTTCCTCTTGCTCCCTCCCCTTGCCAGCAACCCCCAGGGCCAAGGGCGTTTGAAGTGCAGCTTTCTCAGCCGTGGTAACTGGAAAGTATGTGAAGTTCCAGAGGCTCTGTGATCTGCTGGGGTGGGAGGGGCGGTAAAATAAGAAACGTTTGACGCTAATGTGTTTCCCACCTGCTTGGGGTCTGTGGTTTTGGAGTGAGGGTCCCTGGCTGAGAGCCCTGAGAAAGCCCCGTCCGTGCCCCCGGCTCCAGCAGGACACGTCTCAGGCAGGACACCTGCATGGCCCAGCGCTCCACGCGGGTCAGAGGGCGGGTGTCAGCAGACTGCGCGGCAGCCTGGCCCCCAGTGCCCCGCGTGCCCGCCCATCGCTCCTCCTTGCCCCCCCAGAGCCAGCTGGAGGCCCACCAGGAGGAGGGCATGGTGGTCTCTCACATGGCCGTTGCTGGCGTGGGCATTTGGGTTGCCTTCACCTCTGGGTCCACGCTGCGCCTGTTCCACACGGAGACCCTCAAACATCTCCAGGACATCAACATAGCCACGCCTGTCCACCACATGCTGCCAGGTGACCGGGCACGGGCAGGAGGGCCCTGCGGGCGGAGGGCGTGGAGAGGAGGGGAGGGTGGGGGGTGTGCGGAAATGGGAGGGTGCAGAGAGGGGCCCGATGTGGAG